CCAGAGAACTGGTCCATTTCCTGGAGTTGTTATATTATATAGTACATTCTCTGTCATGTTATTACTTTCTTACATCCAGAGAACTGGTTCATTTCCTGGAGCACTTTGCTGAAGATTTCCATGCAGAGAATAAAAAAGTGATTCTTGTTCTTCCGCCTCCTCTGATGCAGAGGTAATAGTTTGGAAAACTTGTAGTGTTTTATTGTGATCACAACAATTTACTTCATCTACCTGGGATGTGCTAGTGTCATTTGTGACATGAGATACCTTATTGTTTGCCACAGGAGATTTCCTGAATATTTTCTGTGTTACAATTAAGATATTAGAATTTAGATTAGATGCATAGGGAAAAAGTCCTCAAACAAGTAACTTAGTTTAAGAAAATGATGTTATAATTTCAGCACAAAGTATATTGTTTACTTGATTGTTGTAGTTGAAATGTAAACAGTGATATCAAATCTCACAGTAATGTATACACTGATAACATATCTGCCAGTATCTGTGTTTAATTTTGTTGTAGGAACAGCCAAGGGATGGTAGGTGTGGAGGATTTTGAGGCCCTGGCCCCTGTCATGGATGCCTTTAGTCTCATGACCTATGATTACTCTAACCCTATGAGGTATACATGTACACAAGCTTTAGTTAAAAGAATGGCTTGGCTGATTTCTAAATTAATTTTCATGAATATTTTTGGTTTCTTATTTGATACTTTACCTTAACCAGCTTGAAGGGCAGTTGTATTTGACATAAAATAAGAATATTTATTTTCACTTGCATCTGGCAGCACTTTTGGTCCCAGCAATTTTTTTTTCTCGGTCATCATTTCTGAGTATTTATCTTTGTTTAAGTTAAATTCTCTAAGCTGGTGGTACAAATCCTGGAGGCAGTAGCACCACTCTGATGCTGTAGTATTCAGTTTATTTCCCAGTATTCTCTGTTATCTTTCAGCCCTGGTCCTAACAGCCCCCTGAGCTGGATGAGGAGCTGTGTAGAGACCTTGGTACCAGAAAGTGCCTCCCCCTATAGGAGGAAAATATTACTAGGCCTGAATTTTTATGGTGCGGACTATGTACCGGGAGGAGGTGGCCCAATACTGGGACAGCAGTGAGTATTGTTAGGAATAGATAAAAACCAGGCAGAGAGTGGAGGAGGGGGCCCAATACTGGGACAGCAGTGAGTATAGTTAGCAATAGATAAAACCAGGCAGAGAGTGGAGGAGGGGACCAATATACTGGGACAGCAGTGAGTATAGTTAGCAATAGATAAAACCAGGCAGAGAGTGGAGGAGGGGGCCAATACTGGGACAGCAGTGAGTATAGTTAGCAATAGATAAAACCAGGCAGAGAGTGGAGGAGGGGACCAATATACTGGGACAGCAGTGAGTATAGTTAGCAATAGATAAAACCAGGCAGAGAGTGGAGGAGGGGACCAATATACTGGGACAGCAGTGAGTATAGTTAGCAATAGATAAAACCAGGCAGAGAGTGGAGGAGGGGGCCAATACTGGGACAGCAGTGAGTATAGTTAGCAATAGATAAAACCAGGCAGAGAGTGGAGGAGGGGACCAATATACTGGGACAGCAGTGAGTATAGTTAGCAATAGATAAAACCAGGCAGAGAGTGGAGGAGGGGACCAATATACTGGGACAGCAGTGAGTATAGTTAGCAATAGATAAAACCAGGCAGAGAGTGGAGGAGGGGGCCAATACTGGGACAGCAGTGAGTATAGTTAGCAATAGATAAAACCAGGCAGAGAGTGGAGGAGGGGACCAATATACTGGGACAGCAGTGAGTATAGTTAGCAATAGATAAAACCAGGCAGAGAGTGGAGGAGGGGACCAATATACTGGGACAGCAGTGAGTATAGTTAGCAATAGATAAAACCAGGCAGAGAGTGGAGGAGGGGGACCAATATACTGGGACAGCAGTGAGTATAGTTAGCAATAGATAAAACCAGGCAGAAAGTGGAGGAGGGGGCCAATACTGGGACAGCAGTGAGCATAGTTAGTGAAAAGAATGAAGAAGATGGGGGGAGATATGTCTCACTGTAGCTACCTGGATGCACATGCACAATGATCACGCTCATAACGATGTGAAACAACTTCCAGAAGCCAAGTGTGCATGAAATCCCTAGCAGCTTCAGTAGGCATGACAGACATCTAAGCCATTTACAAGTTAGAGAACAGTTTCATTAGCTCTGTATGTATCAATTTATTGTTTTTCTTTTTATCAAGAGCTTATAAAATATGTGGGTATTACCTCCAATATTTCTGTGACTGTCACCATCATCAGGGAGTAAATGATTAGGGTTGATTGCAATTGAGCTAGAATCTCTTTGGAGATAGATCTTTCCACAGTTAGTACAATAGGGTCTGGGAATAGTCCCTTGGAATTCAGTAATCTTTTCTATGTACAGACAACGTGTGTTTGCACATATAGCCATCACCTGAAACAGTGAGCAGGGTCTGTATTGTGCACTTTTCACTGTAAACACAGTAAATGGATAATTACATGACTTTTCATCCTCAAACTTACTGGAGTGATTTTTAGGACTTAAATATCGGTGATTAGGTTCTTTTACTTGAACTTCCCATTTGCTGTTTTTTCTTAGTTATTTTAATTATTTTGTGTGTGTGTGTGTGTGTGTGAATTTATTTCATTGTTCACACATTGGCATTTTCAAGATACATTTTATGAATGTCCATTATTTGAAACCTTATGAGCATTACTAAAAATATGTGGCAATAACTATATGATGTTGCATCAATATTAATTTTAAAAACCTCTTGTGCACCAGTGGTTATAATCTGCTTAATGTCTGTATTTATGACAGCTTTGTTGCCTGGATTCCAAATTTATTGGACGATATTGACTAAATTACTTAGTTATGTTTATTTCATCTTTTATCTAATTGCAAGTTGTGTATGGCTTTTTCATATAAAACCTTTTCTTTTTCAGGTTTATAGAAATACTTACAAAACATAAACCTAAGCTGGTTTGGGACGCCACCTCCTCCGAGCATACATTCCAATACAAGTGAGCAACAATTTTGTATTGCCTTTTATTTTATTATTTTAATATTTGAAAGTTTTTTAAACAAGAAATAATGTTTTAAATCACTATTATCTTTAACTCAAAGTTATTTTATTTAAAATTATTAGATGATAAAAATTCCATTAAAAATCTTTAAATTCTTCAAGACCCTGTACTCATGGTTTTTACTTTTATTTATACTACAGCCTAAAAAGACTTATACACAGCTTTCTGGTGCAGTTTTTTTTTCACTGTGTTTTAATTGGTACCAGCCCTTGCATTTACCTACTCCACTATCGTAACCAGTACAGGCAGCCATTTGCAGTTTTTACTCCATTTTCAGGTACAGGCAGCCATGTTATATATTACTTACTGGTACATTAGATGTTATACAGTTTATATTCTACTTTCAGGACAGGCATAGGCAGCCATGTTGTATATTATCCCAGCTTACAGTCAATAAAGGACAGACTGGATCTGGCCAATGAGCTGGGGACTGGCATTTCTATATGGGAGATAGGGCAGGGCCTAGACTACTTCTTTGACCTGCTGTGATTGGTCAGATAGACAGGGCATGTATGGTTTCTTTAGCATGCCTTCTTTGGTCGGTGACTACACTTGTCTCATGTTAAGCTTGGTGTGATTGGTTACATTCATTAGATCTTTTCAAAATCCATTCTACGGTATTTTCAAAATCTGAACAGTTTCCACACACAGCTCTGTATTCTGCCTATATCCCATCCTGTTCTAGACAGTCACCAGAAGATGTGGCAAGGAATTTTTAGACATCGAAAAAAAAGCTGTAACAGCAATGCAAATACAGTGTAGAAACCAATGCCTTTTCAGAGAATGGAACCAAGATTGTGTTGACCTGTAGCTATGTGTGGCCTTGACATTGACATAGTTGTTGATGGAGGAAAGTACAGACTGGATGAGACAGACTTATCAAGAAGCGTGACACACAATGGTGTCCTATGACTTTGATTGGTCTGCAGAGGCTCTGAACCCAACTTCTGTTGTGATGAAACAGTTTTTTTTTTTTACATCATTTATTGAAACATAATTGCTCACATATTTTATTACACATGTTATACTTTATTGGTCAAATCAATCAATACAACATGAACTATAGTACTGCCTTGTGCCTGGTCTAGCTTTAACTACAGGCTTGATCTCCAGCTCAGCTCATCTTGAGAATAAACCATTTACCATGTTGTGAGTTTGTTTCAATGTTGAAAGATGAACCAATATCATGTTGTGAATTTATTAAGTAAAAGGATGAGGTTTATTTGACATTTGACAGATTTCATACTTTTTGGAAGCCAAAAATACCACTGCCATATTTTCAAACATTTTTACTAATTGAAGGTCATATTTTATGACACTGGTTACTTGATTCAAAAGCTGCAGCAATTTTTAATTTGCTTCCTTTCTGTATAAATATTGATTGATTTCTGAATCAAGGGCGGGAACAGATACCAGATAAAATGTCTCTACATCCTACTGAATGAGTGGAAGTTCTCAATCTCCTCTTAAAACATACAATTAAATTATTAATACAATTAAATTATTAATACACTTAAATGCTTAACTATGTGCCAGTTATTGCCTGAACTGTCTCAAGCATTAACAAGTGCCAAAGACATTTTCCACACCTTCCATATCTGATTCTTTTGTCCGTTTGGAACTTATAATTTCCCTTTCAAATGGCATTCTTCCATAAAACTATTCCATTTACTATGTGATACACTGATATCATCATTATCATAATATGAACTATTAATATGTAAGTAAAATTATAGTAAATGACTGTGTTGATTGGCCATGTCTATTATAAGATACTGATTATAACAGGAAAAAGTCAGAAAAAGAATGTGCGTTTTATCATTGGCACTAAATGCAGTAAAGAGTTGGCCCTTGATGAGCATGAAAATACAGAACATCCTAAGAACACTTGGAAAATACTAGAACACAATACTAAACAATGTGAGTATACGTTGGAATATAAGTAACAAAGTAAATCTTAATAAAGACTTGAACAATGAAAATCTCATAACATAATATTCAAAAACAAAACAAATGGAAAACATCCAGTGTTACACTGTATCTTTTTTTTTCTGTAAATGATAAAATCTCACCCTTTCCTTCTCGTCTATTTCTTCCACAGAAAAAAAACTCCATTAAAAGTTATTCCACCTCTATGATAAACAGCATACAGGTGACGTGTTCTACAGATAAAGTGGCTTGTTACTGTTACAATATCAAGACGGTGCACACCAGTGACTGCAAAACATTTAATTTTGATCTTAAAACATGGAGGAAGTTCTCAAAAAAAAAAATAAATGCCATGTGCTGTTTCTCATTTTGTTCAAGCAAATTCTGCAAGTCTGAATGACTAAAAGTAAACTTCAATACTGTGAGATGCATTGAACAGAATCAGGTACAAGAGAATGCTCTCTGATCCCTCACTGCTGCCATCTATGGGAAATCTCTGGTTCAACACTATTTGACTAGTGAGTAGCTGTTGTGTCTTCTCACAACCACTTTCAGCCTGTAGATCTCCATCATTACATGTAACAGGCCTTATAAACAGAGTAAGTGTTTACTAACACTACACGCAGATCTTTTAGCACTAACACTCATATCAGCTACATAACCCATGAGTTAACCAAAACTACCAGAGCGATTCCTATCACTAATATTCATATGTTCTGGTAAATATTTTTACTATATGTTGGTCAAGTTGTGGGTTATGTGGTTAATATGGGTGTTAGAGCTAAAAGATCTGCAGGTAGTGTTAGTAAACGCCTAATCTGTTTATAAGGCCTATTATAAACAATGGAATTTTTCCACACAATCTTTTTCGGTCAACTTTTATTTCATTGGCCAGGTCCAGGTGGTAATCCTCCATGAACACATCCACTTCCTGTTGCTCTAGGACACTCTCCATAATAAATCACAATGTGCTGTAGACTCTATTGACCTGCACTCCAGTGGATGCACAGAAATTCTTTCACTTTCAGCATCGCTGTCCACCTACGCCTCCTCTGTGGTCTTCCAGCGCTCTGCCAGTGCCCCTGTTATACCCTCGTACACTACGAACACAATACAGCAGTTGGGGACAACACGTAGCACGTTAGGAACCATGCCCTTGTAAAACCCACCAACGCCTTCCTTACTATAAATAGAAGAAAAATGGAGGAATTAGTTCAGTGGGCCAAAATGGTTCACTCAGCCAAATAAAGGCGTTTTAGATGTTAATTTAGGTTTTCTTAAAAATCCCCAGTTGTCTGTTCTACAAAGAGAAGAAAAAGTGGAATTAATGATAGGTGCCCAAAAATATTTGTAATACTAATTACTTATGAAGATTTGCAGAACAATTTTTTTGTGATTCTGGGACATTTTTTACAAGGATTTTCCCAGTTGCAGCGTGTTGTTGCCCCAATGCTGATGTAACACCAGTCAAAAGCGTCTCTTGCAGATGTCAAACTCGGGGAGATTATAAGAAAATACCTGAATTATCTGAATGATGCACAAATATAAAATATTCAAAACATAACACATAAATTAAAGCTTCATCACACCAACTGCCTCAAAGGAGACAAAGGAAAGAAGTTCAAAGCATAAAGAACAAAGCAATTCTACAGGTATAACAAACAAAACTGAAACATAACTACTTTTTACTTTTTTATTTTTTGATCCTGCAAGTGTGACAGTTCGACTGCCATGATATTTCTGACATTTCTTAACAAGACTACTTGAACAACACAAACAACAATAACTTATCACTGCCAACACAATCACATCTCAAATACAACAATTTCCACATTATCCGTTTTTAAAACTGAACTTGTAATCAAATAAGCAATCCTGCAAAGTATTTCACACTATCTTGGCTGCCTTTCATTACCGATCTTGTTTACGCAATAATTGCCATTTGTGATTTCAAGCCGCAAACATATTTGACAGTTATTCATTTCTGACTTTGAAATCTCTAAAAGCTCTAACCCATCATCTGAATCTTCCACCATATTATAAATAGTTCTGATCAAGAAAAAGAATCTGTAAAAGTATGTCAACAGGAAAAGGCCTGGATGAAAGCTGGTCCAATCATCTGCGATCTAAAATAACCATTTCCAAGACGATTGTTTTTTCCCTGAAATGTTTTGTTCCTTTGTCAATGCGCTGACAAAGTTCACACAAAAAAATTCACACCAATCTGTTTGTGATATGTTACAATTAGCTGCTGTGAGAGTTGTGGTCTTTGCCACAAAAACGCTGTTCTACTTTACCAACACTTGACAGTTCACATCAATACTGCCATGTTTGTATGATGATAACCATAGCTGATGACAAATATATTAATATATCCATGGATTCAAGTCACATCAAGTAAGTTTTGCCTATATATCGAGAGCTCCCTCCTTTAAGGAGAGACAGTTTTATGACCTCTGCTTTCACGTGAGCAGAAACAAACTGTGATGTTACACATATAAATACATTTCTGATGAGATAAAGAAAGATAAAGACAAATAATTAAAGTTGCCAAGAATATTTTGTTCACGTGAGTTATATATGATTTATGTGACTCCCGATGTATGATGATACATGTAAAGACATCCAAAGATATTTCATATCACTGAATAACTTAAAACTAGGAATGAATGGTGTAAAAGGCCTCATTCAGACTAGATGATCTGAGCACTAACTGATCTGAGCACTAACTGATCTGTCGATTTAAAATGGCCAAACACACTTTAAAAGAGATGTCGCTGATTCCTAATGGTCTCCCTGCCTCCACATGCGCCATTAAAAGGATTAAATCTCTGTCCCAAGGTTTAATTGCTGGGCCTTTCTAGTAACATCACTTGTGGAGGTGGGGATATCATGGAGAATCACTGGCATCTCTTTTGAAGTGTGGTCATCCATATTTAGTCTGCGGATTAGTGAGTACTTGGATTATCTATTCTGAATGGGGCCAAAGTCAACCATATTTTATGGCCAACTATTTATAATATACTAGTAGACTAGATATTACCATATGTACAAACTAGCTAGTGTGGCTTAACCTCTCTGATTGTTTTTGAAACAATTTACTGAAACAAATCAAGCAATCACCTAATTATTGCTGAAAATGATCTTTCAGTGCATACAGACCAACTCCAATTTTGTGATAAAAATGTTTACAAAGCATTCATAAATATGTGACAACATGAATAGTAAGTAGAGAATAAGTAATAAGAGAATATCACTGCCTCTTCTTTTTCTTTCTTATTATGCTTGTAGCCAAGTGGTAGAGGGTTCTCATTAGGATCTAACCACCAGAAATACTTCATCAAGACAGTTATCAATATCTTATTTAATACTACAACCTCATTATTTCCAGTCATCCAAATACCACATTCAAACTTAATATCTATCACCGTATTTTAAATACAAAACCACCCGTTCCCATAACTTCCCCATAATGGCTACTGTGTCTTCCAATACCCTTTTTTATGTTGATAGTGTGTGAACAGTTTCACTGCGTCATAAATATTATCCACAACCAACAAACGGCAAATTGTATCGATTCCCTTCAAGGTGATATCACTACTGTTTACACAATAACTTTCATGGCAGTGTCAGCCAATGAGAAATACTGTACCAAATCAACTGTGGCTGTCACTGAACTGCATGGCATTGTAAGCCAATGAGAAATGCTGTACCAAACCAACTTTTGGTATCACTGAACTGCATGGCAATGTCATATAATTGTCTTTGGTACAGTTTTGTTCATAATTAAAAAACACCCTGCACCTGCTATACGACAGTTAGTAAATGGTACCCTCTACCAGGGCGAGTGATAGATTTTTTTACAGATATTCACAGATATGTCTCTAGCTAGATAGATGGTCATTAAGGGCTGAACTCACCCTGTTGAGGAATCTCAAGACTGATTACATGGCTGATAATTGTTTGCATAACAAAAATGTTATGCACTGCAAAAATGTTATCGAAGACGAAAAGCATTTTCTCCTGATCTGCACTCGGTATCAACGTGAGCGTAAAAGAATGTTTGATTCCCTGTCACGATTCTCTGGTCTATCAGGCACTGATGACGATAGCAAAATAATACAGATTCTCAATCCACAGTGTCGTGCAAGTGCATCAGCAGTGGCCAAGTTTATACAGTCAGTTATGCCTAAGTAGCAAAGGCATATTGTACAAAATACTATATTATTTCAGTATTATTATATTGTGAATGAAGTAGTTAGCTTACATGTATTTTGGCAATGGAATGATCTAAAGAAGTTATACTTATTTAAGTGTATACAATTACAATTTATGTAAAACTGTAGTTTAGAGAGCTTGTAAAATGTAAATGTACTCATTTTAATGCTCAATAAAATTATTATTATTATTATTATAACTGCTCAGGCACTGCCACTTAGCAGGTCCAGTCTAAGTCTGGGTGACAGCAATCAAGACAGTTAATTACTCTGACTTCAATCACTTGCTCTTCTGTGACAGCTTAAAAAGCCTTAGATTGGTTGCGTACGAGCAGTTATCACATCTTTGTGAAGCTCAGCTCATGCAGAGCAAGTACAAAGCCTTTGGCGCACGCGCAGAGATAATTGTTTCCACATGAGATTCCTCAACAGGGTGAGTTAAACCCTTAATGACCATCTATCCAGCAAGAGACATATCTGTGAATATCTGTAAAAAATCTTTCACTTGCCCTGGTAGAGGGTAAGTAAATGGTAAATATGCCCTGTCTAAAATGACAGGATATATATATACACATATATATGTACATATTTATATAAGTATGTAAAACAGTCTGAACATATGTTAAAATGGACAAGACACATGTTCCAACATGATATATGGATTGTGCTCAGAACCTCCTGTTAACATGAGTTCCTGTTCCTTAATACTGCTAAAGACCACCAGAGGTCTCTCATGCTACTCCACAGTCTCAGCTGTTATAAGACCAACAACAACACACCAGTTTGTATACCTGGTACTGTAGTGTATTTCATACACTGCAAGGTGGACATTTTTATACTTCCTTCTTGCTGACTTCCTTATTTATGATATTTCACTGATTTTTTGGTCAGTTTTCTTTGAATTTGGTGTAAAAGGCTCTTTAAGATTGATGCAAATATAATATAATATAATGTGACCCCAGTCATACGGTAATGTGACTCTGCCTCACTAGAGGAAGCCACTGTCAATCTACACTGTCAACTAGCGTCAGAGGACCAAAGAACCAGCCCTGCATTTTCTCATATATAACAAAGACCAGGCAGATATTGGGGATGACATGAAGCAAGTAGGGGGACAATCCTTTGTAAAATCCTGGCAGTTTCTCATGTCTGAAATATAGAAGCAATGCAGAGGTTCAGTGAGTACACGCACACACACACACGCACACCAGGGGCAGATCCAGTATTATTTGAAGGGGGGTCTGTTTTTTTTAGAATGACAGGCTGTGGATGTGAAGCTGACCATCATCCACCCCCCCCCCCCCCCAGCGTGGGTTTTGTCCTAGAACATACTGTTTTTCTCTTTAAATGAAAAATGTTCTTTGTCTGTTTAAGGACATTCTGAAAGACTACCCCAAAACAGTTCTTGAACTGTTACGTTCACTGTTACATAACATCACTAGAACTGTTAAAAAAATTACACCAAATGTTCTAAAATAGATTGAGAACCGTAAGTGAATGTTAAACAAGACAAAGTTTTGCAGGGGATGTTAACAATCATTTTGTCAAGTTCATCTACCTCTTACCCCACTCCCAGCAACCAGCACTCTCTCTCTCTGTCTCTCTCTCTCTCTCTCTCTCACTGGAGAATAACAATTTATAATATCACGTGGACTGCCTTACCTCCATATCTGCTTGAGCACATCAACAGCACCATTATAAGAACGGTGCTGGTCCTGTAGCCGCGACCTGACCACCTGGTACGGATACGTCACACTGGCAGCAAAGATTTTAGAGATAGCAGCAAAGGTTAAGTACTCCATTGAACCCTGAAATCAAAGACTGTCAGATATGTCTCCATGATGACTTTGGCATTTTCAGCTACAAAGGTTACAGCAAGTGTCATGTTGTACCGACAGGAAAAGATTTAATACTGTCTAAAATAACTCTTTCTTAATACTAAGTCTCCCATTTCCGTAGTCACAATCATTCTATGTAGATTGTTCCAACTCTGCGGGATTCTTGCTGAGTGCAATCAGCTTTATTGAATGACATGCTTCCTCTTGTTTCCTATGTTCACATATAATCACTGGTTTTTCTGTAGTCTACTTAACAGGAGGAGTGTAATTAAGCTGAATACACTCAGCAAGAATCAGCACAAAGTTCTACTGATCTACAGGGTAAGAGACCTTAGTAGCAGCCGTGTTATTACCACACATGTAGATATCCTAACCTTTCCACCAGTAAACATTTATCAAAATTTACCTAAAGGAAATTTTTATGCTTGAACAGTTAAGGCAAAGCGCATTATGTTATAAAAAACTTACAAGTCTTCTGCTCAGTGGCGCGTTGTTATACTTGTTATACATTCTCTTCAGTTCTTCGTACGCCATAAACTGCAAAGCACCATGGGATACACCAAATAACCCCGGAACAAAACCCTGGAAAAGTAACCAACAGACACAAATGTAACAGCTATGTTATTTACTTAACCTGACTTCAGTAAATTGTGTTTTAGGTAGACAAAAGACATCCAAAAAACCTTTAAAAACAGACACACATTTGGATTGACAGACAATTAAAAAAGACAGCACTTATATTGTTGTTAGTCCCTCCGACAGACTGAACAATATTTTCTACTGTTCCTTGAATTTTGTTTTCAGCCCTAGCCAGTAGAACCAGCAATATCAGCATGTCTGGTTGAAATTTTTGATATTTGGCTGTTCCACTCACCCGGTACCACCCCCTGATTCCTTCTGTTCTGTAAACTTTCCGTAGAGCGTCGACCATTCCGCTGTACACGTCACTCCTGGCTGCGTTAGATGTGGCTACAGCAGTATCATACTGTAGGCACAGCCTGGTTTTCACGACCCAGATGGGATTTGTTATAATGAGTGTTAACACACCTGGAGAAAGAAACCCACCTGTAGACTTTCTGACCTCTTGGTCAACATGATACTCTACACAGTGATTGTCAACTTGTATAAAAACCTGTTTTATACCTTCAAAAAACAACCATGACTGGTTAAATATATATTCAAAAAAATCACAGACTTGTTATTTATCTTTATAAAAAATCATTCACTTGTTATTTACCTTCAGAAGCAATCACTTTGGCATGGGAAACTAGCTCTGGAAACCCTACCTGACTCCGCTGCTGCTAGCATGTGCTTGGTTGCTCCAAGTGGCNTATATTAAGTTTCGTTTCGTTACCCAAACGTTCACCACAAACCGTACTAGTAGTCTACAATGTGCCTTACCTTCCAGTTAGCCCAAGGGAAAAGAACTCCCAGAGTAAAAACTCCTAGTAGAGGACCACCGATCATACCAAACAACGCAAGAGCAGCCTAGAACAAAGTGAAAAGGTTCGCCATGCGCTGTGTAACGAATTACATGTAGGTCTCTGTTAAAGTAAGGATACTTGCTTCAACTGAAAAAAATACAATGTTATATGTATCACATCTCATTTTTGCATCTTAAATGAACGGGACCAGGTTTTCCAAAACTGGTGAAGCAAGATGTTGGCAAGAACTTACTACATGTTACTTACTTACCTGCAGCACACCCCCTAACTGAGACGCCACGAATGTCAAGCCGATTACGATACAACCGAATACCAAAGCTGAAAGAGGTATACTTGTAGAATGAGAGAAACACCATTTTTATTGAAATAATATATAAGTTTTAAAGGATTTTTTATTTTCTTTATAGTTGCTGATCAGAAACATAAGACAAGCGATGCTAAATAATGCAAAGTTCTCAATTTTCTAAAACAAGAATTAGGACCGGAAATGAGTTTAAAGGTGTCAAAAGAGTCTACATTTTGCTTGAGGGAGGTTTCTTACACATGATTTTAGACGTCAAAGTCGCCCTACTGTCAGACATATGTTTACAGCAGAATTCCTGGAACAGATCACGCGTGCAGACTGTTGCCAAACTGTTCAGACCAGACGATAGGGTGCTGAAATGAAATTGAATGAATGTACATGTACCTGTTGGCAGTTTTAGTCAAGACTGCTCTACATACAGTGAGCACTGAGACGGGAAATAACATATTAAAATACAGGAAGAAACTACCGGTATAATATTTAAAATCTAAAACAAAATAAGGAATTTTGATAGGGTGTGCAACCGGGACAATAACTTCACCTTGCTATATCATTTTAGTTTGATTCATTTTATGTTGGATTTTAAAATGAATGTTGTACCTGAGCGCTCCGCTGAAGAGGCAGGCAGTAAATAGCCCAGGCAAACCAGGCACAAAGGCAAGCTTGTCCATTACGAATAGCGGCAGTAACTGAAGCATAAGATGTATCATATATAGTCCCTCTTAAAGACATTTTATATCGATCCACATGTTGGAAACGTATTGTTATTGTTTTAGGCTTTCACTAACAAGGATTATTTACGGTAAATTTAGTACAATTATCATGGTTACATAGAAACCATGTTTAAATATGTATTAAAAGTGAAGTGTACTAAAATGATTTATCTGGTATTAAAATGTTTTACCTGATCTAAATTAGAAATGTCTTTATTTGTCATTGGGTCACAGTCGAAGTAGTGGGCATAGATCAGGATACCGGACATGGCGCTGATGATCAGAATGGCGATCAAACCTGGCACGTTTATCCACATGGCTCTAAGAAAATGCACATAGTAAACGTTTATCCAAAACTATCTGTTCATTACACGCATTGAACGTATTTGACAAATAGCTAACACCCACGCCATACTTTTTTGTTAGAATGTTACTCGTTTACTGTCTGAAAATAATTCCACAGTAACAGAGAACAACAGCTTCCCTCGTACCTTAATTTCAAGTCGAGTTTTAATCCTACTGTTAGCCGTACCAAAACTCTACTTACATCTGTGCTCTCTTGAGGTCGACCACTGTGAGAGCTCTCTGTACCTGAGCCTGGTTAACACCGTACACAGCCAGCCAGGTAAAGAACCCTCCAAATACACACGTCCACACTGTATGCCGCTCACGTGGGTCGGGGTTAAAACTGGAATATAAATTATAATATATCTAAAGCTGCTATATAAAGAACATTATCATACTTAAATTTCCTGTACTACTTTATTTTAATTGTATTTTAACGTATTATTCCAAGTATCATTGAACTTCACAAAAAATGGAATATCTGTAAAATTTATCAGTGACGTAAATTTTCACGTTTTAATCTTCTTTCTATCTTACTCGAGGAAATTTATTCTCTCTCCTTCAATGTTAATTCTCCAAGCGTTCTCGAATCCTCCGACTCCTATGGAACCCTGAATGAGCACAGCTAGCAGTCCGGCAAACATCATACAGACTTGGAATGTATCTGTCCACATTACAGCTTTGATCCCGCCCTAAAAGGGGTTCAGTTTGTTCATTCGAGATTCAATATTTGTTTATATCATTTAAAGGATGAGTGCAGTAAGACAGACCTCTTTAACAACTGAGGGGGTGGTTGTTTAATTTACAGATCAGGGAAGTAAAATTATTTTAGGAAGCGTATTTCCGCATCAGTTTTCATTTGTTTTATCTATTCATTTTACTAGGCCAATTTACTTATCTATATTTTTCAGTTATTCATTTTTGAAACAATTCACATATTATCTGTTTTTAAAATGCAATTTCAAAATTTTATCTTCAAAGGCTTTAAACAATTTAACCGGCAAATTCATTAAAGTATAACAGTACCGAAAATATTTATAAACATAATATATGATCACGGTAAAAACGAATTACTTACAATACTTGTATAGAAGACGCAGACGACGCCCACTGAAGCAACGGCAATCCAGCGATTCAAACCCGTCACTAAAATGAATAAAGTTTATGGAGAGATTTGAAACGTATGACTTCATTGCTCTCTTTTTGTTTGAAACTTTTTATAATCAGGCTGTATTTTAAACGTTCATTAAGGTTGAAACAAATTATTTGGTAGCCCAGTTGCTTAAAACTGTAATCGGGTACCTACCTTGTTCCAACGCTAAAGACGGTGCGTATAAAACTATTGCCATATATAGGATCTGAAAAAAAGGGTATTTCATATTGAATTGCTTATTGACAAGGGTAGCATTATAACTCTTATATCTTATTAAACATATTGCTTTCAATTCCATTTAATAACACCGAAATATTTTTCGAAAAGTTTTCCTTTATTTTTTCCCAGAAATCAACAGAGAGCATATGCCTTATCATTCTCTGTGAGTTAATGTTAGTCAACGGAAGTACATGTACGTTAAACAAACTGCGAGAGACACGTGTATAAAATAAGACAAAAAACACTTTAAAACAATCACTGATTCAACCGTATATATATACATGGGATCTTTTCTTATTTTGGAATCGTTTTTGCTCCGTGAGAAACAAGGTAACATTGTATTAGTTGAGCCAGCAGAAGACTTAGAACAAGGTAACATTGTATTAGTTGAGCCAGGAGAAGACTTAGAACAAGGTAACATTGTATTAGTTGAGCCAGCAGAAGACTAAGAACAAGGTAACATTGTATTAGCAAAGCCTGCAGAGACGAGTGGAGGAGGTACATGTACTACTTGTCCTCTCGTTGTATTCAGTGAACCTGCACGCTTATTATATGAGCAATTATGCAGTGATCCTTGGATTGTTTAGCTTAATTTGTAAAACATACTGTACATTATTCATTATTCTGCTTCCCTATTGAGATGCCCATGACCAGCAGTGAAACTTGCCCCTCAATATACGTGTTTAATTTTCGTGAAGGTAGTAGGCTATATACATTATTGGTGATTTAACGTTTGAATGATGACCAGCCTAGCGAACTAAATGTTTACTACATGTACTTCTATCGTTATTAAACAGCCTTGTACAGACTTTTCAAAAGAAGACTTCATTCAGTGAACCGCCTACTACATGTATCAGAGGTGTATTGCAATATATGTAATACATTCTTGGTACTACGGATATGCAGATTACAGCGATGGAGTACGGCATTTAAGCTGCAACTAATCAAATTATGCTTTCAAGCATAAACATAAAATAAGTGACGCACAGTTCATAAATATAATACTGACCATCTGTAGGCTGAAAGTGAGAGATCCGGCTACACGCACCGCTTTGTTGAAACGCATCTCGAGATACTAGAAAAGAAATAAGTAATATTGCTGAGTGGAGGCCCTGTAAGGTTGGTACATGTACAAAACAGTTCCACTTTTTCTTCTATTTAAGAAAAAAATTAAGAACAAATAGCTACCGGTATTTTAAAGGGGTGTCATTTAAATAACGTTAAAATGAAATTTTCGACTCGCTTCATTTTATCAGACCTACCTCGTAAGCACTGGTTACTCTTAATCGGAAGAATATTGGTAGAAATATGTGCGCAGCAACAGGCATGACTAAAACATAACCAAAGGCTATCCACAAATACTGAGTCCCGTAAACGTACATCTCTTTCGGAGTCCCTAGCAACGTTATGGCGGACATGAAACTGGCCAGCAAAGACATGGCTGCGGGTATTGCCCCCATCTTTCTGTTGGCCATCAAAAATTCATCTGTTGTTTTCTGACGTCCGCCGGTGAAAGCCTGGTATATACCTATACTGGCAGAGACAACCAAAGTCCCAGCAAACACCACGTAGTCCACGGGTCCGAAAGTGTTCACCTGAGCCTGCGGCATGTTGAATTCTGGTCTTTTGCTGAAGAAGTTTACTGATTGGATCTAAAAGAAAATCAAGACTAAATGTCTTAAACTGATTCTGTCTTTACACGCTTCGTAAACAGACATGTCTTTCATTGTAAGGTCTTGGGATTTTTATATGAACATATAGCCAATGTCACACATTTGCTAATATTTATAGTATTTATGAATTTCTTCAATACAAATTAAAAATTGCCAAGGTTTTCGGTTATTCGGACTTGTGCAAATTTTGCGTATAAATAGGCTTAAGTGGTATTTATGCAATTTTTATCGAAAAAAATCATAAGCAAGGAATAAAGACTTCATATACGCGTGACAGCAGCTACGATGAACATCAGGGCATTTGTGGAGACAGACTCAACGCTGCACGTGCATTATCTGCAGCTGTCAACTTAAAACTTCACGGGCTAATATTTTGTCTGAGGAAGTCTCACTAGTTGCCTGAGATTCAGACCCGATGTGGATCAGTTTCCTAATATTTGATCGCCTTCACATGCCCGCTAATTGGTTTTAGTCTGATTACCGTGTAAATACACGGTCATTTTCAAATGAAGATGCTCGGAATTGGCATTTAACGACAAACGTCTTTCCTAAGTTGTTAATTACAGTATTGGTGGGTGGGGAAACAGATGGATTAGATTGACTCTATGTGGTTAGAAATGCTTTCAGAACAATCACCACGAGGTGACCCAAGGGTCTACTGGTATGGAAGGGACGTCACTTAATTATGCTTAAGGCACATGAACGTTTGGTGGGTTCTATGTACATGTAGATTAAGCTGAACTGCCTACGGAAGTGGTGAAGATTTTAGTGGCAAACGTTTAAATAATATTCCATATAGATAATAGAACAAGATATTAAGAGGTTCATTTCATACACTGAGGCAATCACCCCGTATCATTACTCAGGGGTGGGCCTTAACTTTGTTTTTGTATTTATAACGTACATAGAATGACACTTAACGGATAGTTAGTTGCCAAGTGACATTCAGCGAAAATCCTCTATTCAAGTTGCACATACATGTATTCCTTCATTCAATATACGTTCCTTTTACCTAATGCCGAATGGTTTCCCGTTACTTTGATTGGCGATTCATTAACCTTATTTTGCATAGAGCACAGAAACCTATTCCAAGTATATTTACTCGTTTATATGCTGAAGGTGAGGGACGTTTATTTTACCAAGTTACGTGAGAAGTTATGTGTCATTACGCGACGCGTTAAGCTGATAAGTATGAAATGGAAGATTAGACGTACTAGTTAGTACCGCAATATTCTCACTGTACCTTAAGCTATCTTCGCATTACTGCCCGCGTCTACCGTCCCTTGCATTTCAAAACTCCACACAAAATAAATGCACCTTCACCTCCATATGTATATAGTCCCCAGCAGGCCACACTTGCGTGTAAGCAAAAGATTACACAGTGGCTGCACATCTATTCTACAATACAAATACATACAGCCTGCCGTCCGACTAAGCGTACGACTCGTCTATATATGACATAATAAAACACATGCCAAAAGTGGTCCTTGTGACGAAATTCTAAATTTAGAAATGCAGTCGCTTTAATACAGCAACGCATTGTCAGTAATAATGAGTTTTTGCTTTAACTGTGAAATAAATGGTGATGCTTACTCGGTATTTCAGACACGATAGACGAGTAAGTCTTTTGATCAGCCGAGTGGTCAGTTAATGTCCCACAGCACACAACGGGTCGGTGTTGTACTCAATAATATTCAGGAAGCTTGTACAGCATACGCAGGTCCAGGTGTGGTAGAACTATGGGCCATGTAGATTCCCCACTGATGAACGGTGGACATGAATTACCTGTATGATTAAATACGCTAAATGAATAAGTTGTACTTTTCTGTGTATATATCTATAGCCGTAACGTAACTCAAAGGCAAAGATAGTTACCCCCTAACAGCTTTACTAGGCGTGACAAACATTTAAGCCGGTCAAGTTGACAGCAATTTAGTGAGACTCCCCAGGGAGATAGATCGATCCAAATATCTGTGGGAATGGTCCCTAACATTGATGCATGAATTTGATGTCGACAAAACTCCAACTCCAACTTGAAAGGGGTTAGAGTGGGCAAAAATCAAGTTGTTCCCCAAGCGGACGCAGGTCCAGAGTATCAATGGCTGTTAAAGCAACTTAATCCCCCCTATTCGTCCGAGCGCATGAGCTATATAGCGGTGTTTAACTTTAGTATAGCCAGGCTTGCGGATATTTTGTATGTTTACCCGCGTGTGCACGCATACCACTCGTTAATGTATATGGTAGCTATTCACAATACCCTACGGTTCCCCCGACCTGCCTGGGTTTATTGAAGCACCGGTTAGTACTACCTATATGCACATGAACAAGCGAGGTGGTTCGCCGCCATTTTTTAATCAAAAGTAAAGTGCACAAACAAATATGTATATGCACGGGTGCATGCAATAACAATGTGCTTATTTTTCCCAAGACGTTGATTAAGGCATAAATCTCGGTCGCAACCATTGTATATCGAGGGTTAGGTGATAATTGTCCTGGACTGTATTGCAAACAGAAAGTAAAATTATAGAAAACGTGTTCGTTTTGCCCTAATGTTTTAAAAAAATTAAACATTAGGGCGTAGAACTCAATTATAACTCGACCTCTAAATATTATATAGCTTAGATTTAGTACAGTGTATCTCTGTGGGTGTTACCGATGCTTTAGAACTCACCTGTATTCTTTACGATGGTATGAGCCAGAGAAACTTGAGTTTTACATGCATGATTACGGGTGTCTCTAAAACGAAGAATTGATCAGATTGTGATGCCACTGTTTATATGCAGGTCACAGTTTTTGAAAATGGCTCGGTTTCCTTTCGTTTCGCTCGTTATAATATTGTATTATGGAAGAAAGGAAAAGGGGGTGCCCCCAGACTGAGGGGGGGGGGGAGAGTAGAGACCCATTCAGTGAGCCGTTCCCCGGATCAACCATCGCTGTCACAGCTATAAAACACATCTTCGAAGATGCCCTGAAATAAAAAAATTGTCTATCATATTTCAATAACTGATTTATTGCTCGTAACTCTCTCTCTCTCTCTCTCTCTCTCTCAAATTTGAAAAAAAAACGGAAGTCCGTTCATTTTTCTGATTTTCATTTTAGAAATAAAAGTGGTAAATCGGAAGTACAGATACACACACAAAGCAATGGCGCCTGGCAAAATTGTTTAAAAACTTTACTCCCACAGCAAAAAGTGTCACTCCTAACGCAATGAGTAAAATAATGCAGCAAATCATGTATTAAACCAATGTGCTTTATTCAACTTGTAAAGGGTTTTTTTCACAAAAATTACTGATTGTACAACAAATGAATAAGCTAACCATAGTAAAAAAAATAAATAAAGACACATTTTGGAATTTTGTACAGTATCCTGTGGATTGGAGGACGCACTTGTCGCGATTGGAGTCAAAAAGTTTTGTAACGTTTTCCAAGCCACTGACAATGTAATATCTACGGTTGCTATATATTTTAGTTCAATAGCTGATAGGTTTCCAACCCTATTGTTTGTCTTTAATGTATGGCTTAAAAAGGCTTCCAACTAGTTTTTTTTTATCAAAAAGCCAGTTAAAACTAGACCGTGTATCTGACCCGAGGGGCTACAGGTACATGTAGCCCGTCACGCAACGCTGCACTGGCTGGAGAACAAAAACGTCATTATTTTATTTATTTTCTAATTACTCAAATATACTTTAAACCTCTCACCAAATGTTGCGTCTTCACTAAAAGACTTTGATGAACACTCGCAAAATATCACGACTCAGATACGTGGCCCCCATCGCCACAGTCATTACTCCCCCACATCGGTATCTGGATGATTATTTTAATTTCTTTAAATTGGGTGGACCTTTGTAGGATTGAATAAAACTTTTATGGGTTCTTTTTTGTGGGGGCGGGGGGGGGGGGGGGGGCTGTACATCTCCCAGGGGAAAGCTTGGCTGTCATTTGAACTAAAGTATCAAATTAAAAATAGATTAAAACATCAAATCGACGTGACGTGGGACGCGTCAAGCAATTCGTGAGAGGGAGTATTTTGCTCTTTACCCTAGAAATAATGTTGGTTCCTAGCTTTGTGTAACAGCATGTCAAAATCACAAATACAACAAAAAACGTTTCTTTTATTAAAATATATATTTCAAAGCACTTTCATCGATATACATGTAGATAATAATATAATATTCAACACATATATGGAAGCTCACAGAATACGTTGTATTAAAACAAGCACGCTTTTTTTTTATCAAACTCACATAACAGAGTCTGGCAGCACAGATATAATTGTCAAAACTCTACTTAAATACCATACTTTAGATTTAGAGGTACATAAATTCCACCTTACATCACACCTGGGAACGTGTCTACTAAAATTCTCACTTGAATATGATACTAAAACAATGCACTACAGTTTTGTTTTGTTCTGTCTCCGTTTAATGTTAAAGACCGTTTTAGAAAACATATCAAAAGTTAATGCCCAGATGAACAAGAAGAGATTAAAGGACCATGTGCTTCTTGCTTGTGTATAGATGAATGACGTTTTTATCGGCTATTGGTAAAACGAACATACCTGTTCCAAGGCTGTAAGTATTGAATATACGATGTAAGATGTTTAAGAAGGCATGCAGTTTCGGTAAGGACTGTGCACCTCAAACATATCGTGTGTGTATCGCGTTTTGCACACTCTATAAGCAGATAATTAGATAAAACAGACAAATTTAAGAATAAAAAAAATAAATCATAAAATATGATCATAAACTTTTAAAGAAAGCTTTAACATATATTTACAAAACGGCGATTCATTAGAGATATACTTTTCGTTCACTCATCCTATTAACAGGGGGATGTCGCAATATTTACAATCGGGTAAACTGCTTTAGTTGTACTCCGTCTACATTTCCATTTTGCTGGTGCTCTAAGTCATAGACGTGGCCATTTTTATTGCCCGTGCCATATTCCTCGGTCTCCTTTTCCACAGCAGGATTATCAATACCATTGTGATGTTTGTGTTCCTCCTCTGGGACTCCGAATGACGTAATGGGATCTGGATGGAAGTCCTCTTTGTCCACGTCTTTACAAAGACAGCAGTAGTGCAACTTTTCCTGTAAAATTAAAATATATATATATANCATCTCACTGTCACATTTAACACATGCTCTCATCACTGTCACACCTAACACATCTCATCAATGTCACGTCCAGCACATTCTGTCATCAATGTCACATCTAACACATTCTGTCATCACTGTCACATCTAACACATTCTCTCATCACTGGCTCACCTACCAGTGTCTCACCTAACATTGTGATTTCAGCTGTGGAAACAGCAGTCCAGGAACACACCTGGGACCAGTGTGAGTTTGGGACCATTCTGTGTGTGTGTGTGTGGGTGGAGGCGGGGGGTGGTAAGCTCTCACAATGCCAAGTAGTATAATATTATATTAACTTGCGAAAAGCACCAGAAAAATATAAGAATCAAAATGTGCCAAGTACACAAGTGTTGAGTTTGCAAATTTACACTTTAACACTTTCTGTCCAACTCTCTTAATGCAAGCTTCTTTTGTGATATAGACATGGAATGACTTTGCAGTATTCTTAATTTGCTGTGATCACCTTCTCTAGATATTTTATTCATTCTTTTATTTCTCTCTTAGCAACACTGAACTTTGCTTTTCTCTATTTGAAGAATTTTTTGAAAGTGATGATTAAAACTGTTTAACTCATGGCCAAACATTTTTCTCTATTTGATGTATTTCAAACTTGATGTAACTGCCACTGCATGTGTAGAAGTTAACAAAACACATCTGTCCTCTCTGCAGATATGATCTAATTAGTTGTGGAAAAATGTTAGTTATATTTCTAGATATGAAAATTCATTGAAACTGATATATGTTGGCAGTTTTACCTCCACAAACACATACACACACATTTATCTTCACACATGGGATGGACAGACTGGGTGGGGTCAGGCTTAGGGCTACACTGGTGATTGACAGACTGGGTGGGGTCAGGCTTAGGACTACACTGGTGATTGACAGACTGGGTGGGGTCAGGCTTAGGACTACACTGGTGATTGACAGAGTCGGTGGGACCAGGTTTAAGTGATTGAAAGTTTGGGCAGGATGAAATTTATGACTACACCAGAGATTGATTAAGTAGGCGGAGTCAATCTAAGGACAACACATGAGACTGCCAGTATGTGTGGGGTCAGGGTGTACTAGAAGACAGTAATCTTTGGTTTCTGAAAAATATATCACACCAATATTTTCCTCTTGAAATTAGAATTTTGACTAGCTAAATCATAGTTCTAAACCGTACCAAAGGGCACTGTTTGCTCTCCAAAACACCACAAATTTTTGGGGCCCTTGAGCAGGCCCAAACCCCTCACCCCTCCGAGGCCTGTCATTCTGGATCCGTCCCTGGTAATGTTGACATTATCTATGTCAAACAGAGTATAGTTACTGTATCTTTTGATTGATTGTCTGTTTGTGAACCTAAATGCTGACAAACAATTGGCTAATGCTGTTTAGACTGCCACTTTTCCTTCTCTGGTGTCTTTACTTTGGGTGGGTTGACAGGCCCGTAGCCAGCAATTTCAAAAGGGGGTTCTTTTTCTGAAAAAGTGGATCTTTTTCCATAAAAACTTCATGTACCTAGATCAAATTCTACCCAGAGTGGACCTTTTCCCCACAAAAAGGGCTGTTCTTTCTAACCCCCGACCCCCCCCCCCCCCCCCCCCCCCCCCNTGTGACCTTGAAATTGACCTTTGACCTACTTTTCACCATGAACTGAACTTTGCAAATTTTGCTTCCCTTTTATCTCCAAAACTGGCAGAGATAGGTCCATAGTTACTATTGAAGTTGGATAGGAAGTCATATACTGGCAATTTACTGTGACCTTGAAATTGACCTTTGACCTACCTTACAATGAACTTAACTTTGATTGCACCATTTTTAGTTATATATATTTTTTGCATATTTTGAAAATTCTTGTTGATTGCATTTTTACAGCTTGTCAAGCACAAGACTGGTGGCTGCACCCCTTATTTTGTGTATGTGGGGGTCTATACGAATGCGCTTGCTCCAGCTGGTGGTACAATATTCGGAGGCGGTATCGCCTCTCTGATCCTCTAGTTTTAATCAGTTGTCATTTGCATGTGTTTTTATAACATAATTCTGCCTCTAATCAGTGCAACTGGCCTGGTTTCCTCATAACCAGCATAAGAACTGGTGGACAGGATGTTTTATTGAATGCCTGCATGCTTTATTACTCACGGTATTCTTCATTATACTTACCTAGAAAATATTTAGTCCATGGTGTAGGGATGCTTCTGTACTTTAGGATTGGAAAAGATATTGTGTTTTAAGTTTTACTGATATGAAAACCAGCCATCATTGAAGACATTGGATTAAATCTGGATCAAAGATTTACTTAGCAGAACCAGGTCAAACTTGCTACTTCAATTTTAAGTTATGAAAATCATGAAATATCTGAAAAATACATATTTTAATGTGGAATATCCTTTTTTGGCATTTGATTTCAGTCTGTTATCTAAAACTTATTCTCAGTTGTGTAATTATTCCTTTATTTTCCAGAGCAATGAATACTTACAAACCGTCTGTCGCTGTCTGCAGATGATGCTAAGAATCGACGAGTACAGGCATGCTTTTGTTAATGTGGACGGCATAAGTATGTAAGTACAGGCATGATTTTGTCAATGTGGAGGGCATAAGTATGTGAGTACTGGCATGCTTTTGTCAATATGAAATGTATTAGTATATAAGTACAGGCACACTTAATTTTAGATGTTAAGAATATTTGAAGTACTAGTATCTTGGGCAGCGGTTGATCCAGAGATATTTTCTGACAGTCTTCCAAATTATCTTTGTTAATCCATCCTCTATTTTTGACTGTCTTCCGACAGAAAATATTAGATACCCGTCAATGTAAACTTGAAAATCTGACCGTCTTCCGGAAGACCCAGAAGACGCCCTAAATCTGCCCCTGTTGGGAGTGTGTGAGATCATAAAGTGTAGTAGCCATATAGTTAAAATGATCTAGGAAGTGACATATTGTGACATCCTTCTTCCCCTGATCTGTCCCAGGATTATCCAAGTTCTCCCTGGCAAGGTTGGTTATTATGTAACATATTGTGATCTTTCCCAGGATTATCCAAGTTCTCCCTGGCAAGGTTGGTTATTAAGTAACATATTGTGTTCTATCCCAGGATTATCCAAGTTCTCCCTGGCCATGTTGGTTATTAAGTAACATATTGTGTTCTATCCCAGGATTATCCAAGTTCTCCCTGGCAAGGTTGGCTTCCAGATTCAGTACCAGTTGACCTTCTGTCTGTGGTGTATGACCTTCAACCCTGAGCTGGCTGAGAAGATGAACAAGTGAGTACAGTACCTCAGTATAGCAGCTGTGTGCTCAGCATTTATATCAACTTGTTTGTACATGTCTATACATTGCTCTTCATAATGTTATACAATGTTATTTGTATGTTCACATTCTACTGAATTACAGCCTATTTGTATTTAGATATACTTCGACATATATTTATACATTTAGATACAATGTCATCCCCATCTTGGCTGACATACTGGGAGAGTCAGTGAAGGAGAAGGTGACCCGGATCATTTTGGCCACATTTAGGGTGAGTCCTTTGTGTTTTATATAACACTGGTGTGTGTGTGTGTGTGTGTGTGCTCTTGTGCACGCATTCTAACCGAGGACACACACCCGCCCGAAACCCACTAACCGAGGACACACCTCCAACCGAGGACGTCCTCGGTTGACATAAGCAGTGGAATGCATAAAGGGGCCCATTTCAAGTTAGGTGGTGAAATTTGACGCTATTCTGAGCCAGTCCTCGGTTATGCTGTATAGCGCGGGCCAAATTCCCGCCACGAGTGTATCAGAAATACTGTCCAACTTTTTGTCTGAAATCGGGCTATACACACGCGTCCTCGGTTGTGCTGTAAA